GGAGATTTCTCATTTTTGCAATGTTCCTCAGACTTCAGTGTCAGAAGTCCACACTCTTTCTGTCTTGCAATGTTGGATGCTATGACAACTTCCTGTAATACTGCTGCTCCACTTACGCCTCCTGGTGGCTGTTGTAGACCTGTCAGCTCTTTGCAAATGTCGTAATTTGCCTCCCTGTGTCGGATCGGTCAGCTGAATAGTCCTGAACTTTCTCTGTAGCCATAAATCTGCTGCTCTCCTTGGCCTGTCATCTCTGTCCTTGCCTGCTGCACTTCTCGGCCGACTTTCTATATCAGATGCTGTGTGATGATAAGTCATTTAGCCAAAGTTACTCTCAGTCTCTCAACAGGACCTTCAAGGTTTTTTTTTATGCCAACCAATCTGAGTTTTATTGCTGAGTGATAACTGTAGCAGTGTTTGGTTGTGAAGGAGAGGAAGAACAGGTTGCATTCTGCCATCAGCCGTAAAGCTGAGCACTCATTACAGCTTCGTGTCATTTGCTGTGCTTTTATACTACAGTGTTGGCCTCTCTGTGATACGCAGGCTATTTCTGCTGTGCGGTTTGCACAGTTGCACTTTATTCTTTGGCTTTCCCTCGGAAAACGTACCATCAGTCTCCATAGGTTCCGAATGAGGTCAGTTCTCCAAAGGCCCACAAATATTTGAGGAGGAGTGGAGTCTGCAGGACAAGGTGACCCACTTACAGGAAAAAATCCTTCAGTCCCTCCCTCCTGCTCTCCATCTTCCTCATTAATTCTCCTGGTTTTCCCTTCCTGTGTGAGTCTGAGCTCCTCTCTGCCTGCTGCTCAGAGCAACGTTAAAATCACAGTTAAAGAATCTCCTCTGTCCCTCTCTAAAAACTTATGTGATTTTTTTGATTAGGATACCACAGAGTCACGCTCACAGTTTCAGCTTGTTGATAAGGTCATGTTGAGGCCACTTTTTGCTCCAGCTATTGAAAGTGTTGTTATAAATATCAACCACAAAGTGGCGCTAGAATACCGTCTTAGCCTCTATAAATGCATCTCAGCTTTCTGTATAAGAAGTGTTTTCTAAATATTTGGCCTGTTTGTAGATGTAATCGATCCAGCAATTCATTCGTAGAGGGTCAGAATTTGAAAGGTTGATATTTTTCAGCTGCTATAAGGATCAAAACATGGGTCAGAACCGACTTTGGTTCGGTTCTTTGATCAAACATTCCTGCTGTTCTCTGACCTCCATTTCTCTGGAAGGTTATGAACCTTAAAAAACACAATCCTTCCTTTTTCTAATCTTAGCATTTTGGGTTTTGTTCTGTTTTTTTTTTGTTTTTTTTTGTAGTGGCAAACATTTTGTTTCCAAAGACGTTTGATGGTTAAATATGAGCATTAACTGTAGAGCACATGGTAAAGATGCAATGTTACAAAAAGGTCCTGTCTTCCGGAAGAGTTTCCGAGCTGACCGGCAGTAAAAGACGAGTCCTCTCCTCTGGTCCTCACCTGCCTTCTTTGTATCTTTTCCTTCAGTCCCAGCAGTCACAGCGAGGCGGTTGGCCCCAGGAGGAAGCTTTACAGCGCCGTTCCAGGCAGACACTTCGTGGTGACTCGTTCTTACACTGCCCAGGCTGAGGGAGAAATCAACCTCTACAAAGGGGACAGGGTCAAAGGTCAGTCATTCCATTCACTCTACTCACCCTAAGACTGACATCAAACCCCTTAATTATAAAAAGCTTATATTCAAAATGTATTATCAGAGAAAAAAAATATAAACTCTCCTTTCTTGATTCAGTTAAGTCCAACATTTCCATCAAAGATTTCTTTAAACACCTTTTCTATTAACACAAACGATTTATTTAGGCTATGAAACAATAGAGAAAACAAGCAGCACCTTTATTCACCCTTCT